CATGGCGGCAGCAACAATACTACAGCGAGAATAAAAGTTATGCCTTCTTTCTTTGCGTGAACATTTGAGTGGTGTTATGCAAATCTTCCCACACAGTGACGTAGACATGTCGGTGCGTGTTTAAACGAGGCGTTTTAGGATGGCGTGGACAAGTCTCAACTTTTATAAAGAATATCTCTTTGGATTTGAGACTTTAGTCTTTGCAACTTTACAGATCTTCTTTACCCCAGATGTGTGGCTTGACGCAATCCTGTCTCTGAGCTCTACAGGCAGTTCTTTTGACCTCAGGGCTTGATTTTTGCTCTCATATGCATTATCAGCTGTTAGACCTTTTATTAAGATGTGTGTGCCTTTCCAGATCATACCTATTCAATTGAATTTGCCACAGGTTAACTTCACTCGAAGTGTAGTGACATCTACAAGCAATATAAATGCTCCTGAGCTAAATTTTAACTGTCCCAGATAAGGGTATGAATACTTACGCAATGGAATCATTTAAGTTTTTTATTTTTAATAAATTTGCGATTATGTTAAAAACCTGTTTTTTTGCTCTACCATTATGGTGTTTGGAGTATAGATTGATGTGGAAAAAAGTAATTTAAAGCAGTTTAGCATAAGGCAGCAATATAACAAAACGTGAAAACAAAATGAAGGGGTATGAATACTTTCGCAAGGCACTGTAGGTCCATACTCTGATTAGAGTTCATTGCGGGGAAGTTCATGCAGGATGTTCTTTTGTTCATCAGAGCATAGAGACCTTATTTTAAATGTTGAACTGTTTCTAACTTAACATGATCTCAAAACAACACTGGATGATTACAAAGACAATATTTACAAATTTATGCAGACTAAATCCTTTAAATAGGTAATTGCATAAATCGTTGCTTAATTTTCTCAGTCCTCCCCCAAAAACAGAGATTACTGATGTAATGCATAATTTGTTAGTTTAAAGGGAACATTGCTTATTGCAGATGACTTGAAAGATGACAGTAATATTGTTATAATTTGTACATTTGTGCAAACAGGTTTAATGGCTGTTGTTCATTTTTTTTTAAAGGGATGAAAAACACTGCATACTAAAAGCCTTTTTGAGATATTATGACCTATAGAAGAACCGCATCTATTTGAAATAAAAATCTTTTGTAACAACGTAAAAGTCATTACTGTCACTTTTAATCAGTTTAATGCTAAATAAATATTCATTTCTTAAAAAAATAAATAAACCTGACCTCAAACCTTCATATAATTGCTGATCTGATATGGGATATCGCACAGGGCTATGCACCGCCTCCTAAGAATGGTGTGGAGCAAAAAAGACCCGGCAGACCGCTGAACATCACGTCGCTGGTCAGGTTGTCATCCGCTGTACCCAATCAGATAGTAGTCACGTGGGCACCTGAAATAGGAAAGGTATGTGAAGTCCCGTTATACCTGTTACTTCATCCATTCAGATTTTAACATTGCTTTAGCCTTTTCTATATACTAAGCATGTATATGTACTTCCTTCTTGTTTTCTTCAGACATACTCCATGTCAGTTTACTTGGTGCGGCAGCTGACCTCTCCACTGTTGCTACAGAGATTAAGAATGAAGGGGATCAGAAACCCTGACCATTCCAGAGCTTTAAGTAAGGCAACACTTCCCTCTTTGATAAAGGAGGAAAAAAAGATACCCATGAAATCTTAATTGTAAATATGAATATGATCCATCAAACTCGACAGTTCTCTGGTCTTATTTTTTTTGTTGTCATTTACTAAATCTACCCTCTCTTCACTATTGTAACAGTTAAAGAAAAACTCACGGCAGACCCTGACAGTGAAATCGCCACAACTAGTTTACGAGTCTCACTCATGTGCCCAGTAAGTTACAGCTGACTCATGAATGTCAGTTTAAATAACAGTTTTTAGTTTTTGTTTAGCGTGCTGATGTAATATGGTAAAGAAATAGTTTTGTCTGACACCTCCCCCCCACCACC